GTCTTTTTCCCTCCTACTGTATGAAATAGAGAATCATAATTACAATTGCAATTCAACACTTAAAACACTAGTTATTTCCCAAACACTTGAAAATCATAACAAAACTTGCGTTACCAGCAAGACTACCCTGATGTTTGTGAGATGATCTGTTATGACCTGTACCACCCTGTTCACGTCGTGAAGTTTGGGTCACCATGACATCAATACAATGTCATTCTCTGCTTGGTGAATCACACCATTACCAAGCTACGTTCACCAAAACAACGTGTTCTTCAGTGATTGCAACAACGTCATCTGTGAAGTGTTTGAACTCTTAAAAACGGGGCTGCTTTGGGCACTTAGCGCCGGACAAACCATATCCTACTGTATATGAGGGGCAACTGAGAAAACTGAGGACCACCAGCCTTGAGAAGGCGAGCAGTGATAGCAGTCTTCAAATACCTGAAACAAACAGGAATTAAGTTGGTCTGTGTGACTCTGGGAAAGGAAAGACAAATGCCACGATCACGCTCTGTCTCGAGGAGAAATTTCTAGTGCCTCAAGATGTCTTAAACTGGGAAGTCAGCTTCAAAGGCTTTGCAATGCCTTTTATCAGAGGTGTACTGGCAGTAGACAAGATGACCACTTGGTGGGGATGTTACAGAGAGAATCTCTGTTTTAGATGGGAAGTTACTTCTTCAAATTCCCTTCTGCATTCAAGAGCCACTGATTCTAAGAAAACATACAGACTAGGATTTTCAGCATTTTTTTTTTTTTTTTGCCCAGGTTAGGAAATCTTCCCTTTTGGGTAAGGTATCTTGTCTTCAGAAGGTGACTTCAAAAAGGCACCCCGACTAGGGCTGGCCCGGTCATGTAGTGGTTACATTCCCATGATCTGCTTCGGTAGCCCCAGGGTTCACAGGTTCAGATCCCCAGTGCAGACGTGTGCACTGCTCAAGCTGTGCTGTGGCAGCATCCCACATACAAAATAGAGGAGGATAGGCACTGATGTTAGCTCAGCGACAATCTTCCTCAAGCAAAAAGAGGAAGATTAGCAACAGATGTTAGCTCAGGGCCAATCTGCCTCAAAACAAACAAACAAACAAAAGACACCTCCGCTATTCGAAGGAAGCAGTGCATCGACCCACTGGCGTCATTAGCAGGCATGAGCTAATCCAATTGGCTTCTTCCCCTTGGAAAGCTAGAGCAAGCTTCCCAGAAATGGGACTCTAGCCAAACAAGGATGGTCTCAAGCATTGCTCTAGGGCAAGATAATGGGGACAAAAAGGTGACAGAGTTTAGCTCAGTCAGATGGAGGAAGTCCTCTTTCAGAGGCAGAGCAGCCCTCAGATGGCTTGGGATCCTGAAGTCCTCAGTTGGAAGGTGGACATTTAGGGCTCATAGGGGTTTGGGCTGGTTCTCACTAATTCTGCAACTCCATCTCTGTGTTCCAAATTGGGAAAAAGCCTTCCTCTCCACCACCATCCACCCCGACTAGTCATTGCTCCCATGGCAGCTACTCTGGAGAGCTCCCCAAGGTCAAGGACTGGGTCCCTATTATTCACTGCTGAATTGCCCCGTGGCTAGTGCAGCGCTTACCACATGGATGGCTCTCAATAAATACTTGCTCCTTCCTGTATTCATTCAACAGGTATTAGTTAAGTACACGCAACATGCCAACACTCGATGGGGCATTTGGTGCACAGCAAATTAAAAAAAAAAGAAAAAACAACCACCAAAAAACCAAAAAGCAGATGAGGTTTTTGCCCTTGTGAAGTTCATGGTCTGGCAGGGGAGACAGAAAAATCTTAAACATGAACAAATTGAGTACAGAATTATGGATTGGGCAAAGTGCAGTGAAGGGAGTGAAGAGGGTGTGAAGATAGCAGGTATTCTGGTTGGGTGGTGAGGAGGTGACATTTAAGCAGACGGCTGAAGGACAGTGAAGGGAAGAGCTGTGTGATGAGCTGAATGAAGAAATAACTAAGTGACGGGGAGGCTGGCAAGATCCTCTCCTCTGCTGAGGAGAGGAGGGCCAAGAGGCAGTGAGTGCTCCCAACGACGAGAAAACTGGCTGTCATCCTGTCAGTGCCAGGCACAGAGTGAGAATTTTATCATTCACTTAAAACACACACACACACACACACAATGGGGAGCTGGGCTCCATTTCCTCAGAGGAGGAAACCGAGTTCCAGGAAGGGTAGGTAACTTGCTCAGTGCCTCACAGCTATTAAGTGGCAGAGCCAGGATTTGAACTCAGTTCCATGAGGCTTAAAAGCTCACGTTCTTAATATTATGCATCCTCTTCTCTGCCAGAGGACAAGGAGCGTCCTTACCTAGACTTCCACGTCATGGCACTTTTTGCCCCCTCCGTGGGAGCCCCAGGACTGAGCAGCTGGGAAGCACCCGGGCTGCCACCCGGAGATCTGCTTCATCTCTGGCGGGCATGCACCAGTCAGGGAACCCATGTGGATGTTTGGCTCCAGCCCCACTGTGGGAGCCGCTGACCAAGTGCCAAGGCCCCCACTGAAGAGCTGTAACCAGTCCTGCACCCTCACCTAGAAAGCCCTCTGACACTCCTCCCGAGCTAGCTTGACTGACTCCTCCCGGCTGGTGAGGCCACAAGGCCCGTGAGGGGTACCCGCAGCCGGGACGGGTGTGAGCAGGGCTGACAGGAAGGAATGGCGTTTGTAGAGGGAGGGAGATCTCAGATCTAGCCAAATCACATTCCAGATTCTTACCTCTCAGCTTCCTGGCCTGGAGACAAAAATACCACCCCACCTTAGGGGTCCGCGCAGCCGGGAGGGCAGGCAAGAGGTGCCACTGCCCTACTGAGACCCCCCCACGATGGCTTTACTGTCACCTCTTTCGGTCCCCCAGCACACTATGGTCCACAAGTCACTGCTTCTGCCCAGTCTCTCTTGGGTCTTGAGACAGCCGTGTACCCAAGTGGGCTCCCTTTACAGTTGGACTGGCTGGGGGCGATTCACCGAAGGCTCATGGGTGGCCAGAACCAGTTTCCCAGACTCCCTTTCCCAAACCCTACCTTCTTATGGGACAGGCTGCTGCGACGTCCCTCCGAAGTCCTGCCTTCCCCATACATATTGTCCGATCGGAGCCCTCTCCCCTTCTCCTCCCTGCCCCTCAGCACGTGCCAACTTCAACCATCTTTTGGGACAAGTGTATATGCCACGGGGCACTGTACGTTACTTCTCTAGTTCTTATGCTCTTGCTTAAAAAACATGACTTGCCAGCATTTATGAGGCTGCTTCTGGTGTGCCAGGCAGGAGGTGCTAAGTGCTTCACGTCGATATTTTTCCCATTTTTACAGCTGAGGAGAAGTGGTCTAGGGGATAGAATGACACCCCCCCAAGAGTGCCTAGTTAGTGAGTAACAGAGCTCAGATGAGTCTGGAGTGCAGGTAATCTGATCTCAGAGGCAGATCTTTTCTTGCCTCTCCAGATAGGCCAACGCCCAGCCTTTATCAGAATTCTGTGTCCCTCCCAGCCACGTGCCTGGTACATGCAAGGCACACCATCCGCCCAGGTGGGACAGAGCCCTCTTGGGGATCTCATCATTGTTGCCGGTGGTCAGTAAGGTGTTGAGGATCCAGAGTGCTGGCTTTTGAGCCAAGAAGTTGTGGAGGTGGGTCGGGATTCACTACTCTCATGTACGTAACTTAGCCTCTCCCAGCCTCAGTTGTCCTTTCTGTCAACTGAGTGTAATAATACCCACCTTGAAATGCTTTGTAGGGTTCAAATGGGGCTTGAGTAGGGCAGGGCTAATATATAATGTACCGATTGTCTTTTATTTTTTGCCTACAGCAGGCAGTAGAGTAGAGCAACTAAGAGCACAAAACTCTGAAACAAGGCGGCTTGACTCCATTTCTGTGTGGTCTTGGGTAAGTCTCTTAACCTCTCTGTGCCTCAGTGTCCTCACCTGTAAAATCGTGACACTAACAACACCTACTTTGTAAGGATATTGTATGCAAAGAGACTGAGCATATTGACTGTGGAGTGCCAGTGTCTGGAGCAGAACTTGGTAGAGAATGGGGTCTCAATAAAGAGAATGAACAAACAAATAGTTGAACACGATCTCTGGCACAAATAGGTCCCAACAGATATGGGCCATTATTGGTTGCATTATCATTGTTATCTCTCCCTGGCATATCTCCCCTCCCTCTGGCAAGACCCAAGCACTTTGCATCTGCCAAGGATCTCTTCCTCTTGTCCTATATTCTCTCTCCATCCAACCCTTCGCCTGCCTCCACTGGGAGATGGCGGGAGTCCTGCGGACAGGAACAAAAACCAGTCATGCCTTCTCCTTCCAGAATTGATCTTCCAAACCTCACTGATTGCCTGGATTTACACACACACACACATCTCTGAGTCAGAAGGACTCAGACAGACACACCACAGGCTCCTAAATGGGACCAGTGTTTTCCTATGGGTTTAAGGGTTTGTTATTTGCTGTTCAGATTGAGTTCTGTCAATTATTACCCAACTGGTTGTCCCTCTAGAGTCATTAAAAAAATAATGGGTTCGTGTTTGCTGCGGGTGAGTATGCGTATGTGTTGTACGTGCAGGGGGCGTGGGGGGAGCAATGGACTAGGAAGCGTGCTGGGACTTACATTAACCTGCACACGGCTCTGAACTACCCCCCAGGAAATGTGTGCCTGCATAAGTATGCTTAATCCACGCTCATTCAAAGTGTGCCGGGGCTGTTATCTCCGCCTCCCTTCTTGCCTGTCCCTTCATATAACCCCGGCTGCCTCCAGCCAGTCTTTGCCCACTTGACTTGCTGGCCCTGAGCACACAAAGGTGCAACGACTCTCTGAGAATGAGTCTTTTCTGCTCTGAGACAGTGGGGCTCTGCCTGGCTGTCACCGTAGTGCTGGGAGGAGCAGTTCTTTGCAAACTGAAGAGCCCAGGGCAGGAGGGGAGAAAGGTGGTCTGCTTGGTGGGCCTGTGGGGAGGGGCTTGCCTGCTCAGCCTGTCCCTCTTCTGGGGCTTGCTTCTCTTCTCCCTGTCATGTTGCCTCATGTATACTTACTTATCCGGCCAAGAGCTGTTACCTGTGGATCAAAAGGCGGTGCTGATCACAGGTAAGTGGACAGACTGCGACCCTCACTCAGGGCAGCACCTGGCACTTGCTCTGCCTTAGCAGGACTTTTTCAAATTAGGCTTAAAAATGAAATCCTTGACAGAGAGCAAATGCAAGCAGACCTGCAAGTGTCTTTCACTGCACCGTTTTGGTTTGCTTTCTTCAGGAGGTGCACCTGACGGGACTGGTGGCGGGAGAGACCGGGAAGGCGAAGAGCATCTAAGCCACAGTTTTGTTAATTTCCCAGGATAAATAGGAATCGGCAAAGCTGTGCCATTTTGTGCGTTTCATTTTACCCAGGAAAGTCCCATAGATTTCTTTAGGCTTAAACGGAATTTTGTTCTGAGATTAATGTTTGACGGCGTTCTAGACTTGGGCTCTTACTCCCTAGATGTGCAAGAAACCTTACAAAGCCAGGTTCTCCTTGTATTTTGCTGTGTTTTTTAAATATTGAAGGTGGAAATTGTGTAATTTGCCCGGGGTTCTGTCAAGAATCTTTGGTCTTCAAATCTGTCATTAGCCTGCCGATGTTTCTTAATTGGATCAAGAAACAGTTGCTTGTTAGCTCAGCTGCCTGCTTTTTTCCTCTTTTGTGTTTTTTTTTCCACTGCAGGTGTGAGGCCAAATTAAATTCCTGCGTGTTGTAAAACTGGTTGGTTTGGCTGCAAAGTTTGAACTTGGATAGGGCTCTAATTAGGATTATCCAGCCTTATCCCAACCCAGAAAATTCTTCCAAGATAAGAACATTAGTTCCAGAATCATTTGCGGGGAGGTCATCACGCCCCACCCCAGCCTGAGGCCACCATCCACTGGGGTGAAAGCAAACAGGGGGCGCGGATGGAAGTGAATCAGAGGTTCTCTCAATTCCCTGAGAAGTGGTCTCTAAAGCGACTTGTCTACTTTTCCTTTTCCTTTACCCTGATAAAGAAATTCTCTAAGACAAAATGCAAGTTGGCACTTGTTGGAATTTTGAAGTGCTGCGGGAAACAAGCTTCTTCAGCGAAAGCAAAACAAAACAAAACAAAGGTAGAAAACTCTGTTGATCGGTGGGATGTTTATCCACGTGAATGTCTGGTATGACCTGGAATCGTGCATCTAAAAGATTGGCTGGGTTTTCCACTTTTTTGCTAGAATTCTCTGGGTGGGCTGGGTGAGCATCTGTAAGAAGAGTCTAAATCCTTCTGTTCTGTGTGTAGTAGCAAGTACTCATGGTCTTAAGAGCAAGGCCGGGTCGAATCTATTTTTTTGTACTTTTTCTCTTGTGTGCAAGAAGACAGAACAATTAAGCATGTTAAAATAATAATCGGGATGTCGTGGCTGACTCTAATGAAACGTGATCTCCCGGAGGGTCTGAAAGTTCCTGGGAGCACTTCAATTTCAGGGAGCAGCACTCCTAAGGCTAATAAATAAGAATACTAAACCCTAGGATAGACTCAGGCAAACTTCAAGATAATTGGGAAAACAGGAATCCTTTCTTGCTTGTTTATCTTGTCAGTTTTCTTTATCCTCTGTGTTTGAAGATGTAGGCATGCAGAAAGGCACAAAATACACACTTCAGTCAGTTAGCCCACACCAGCCATTGAAATGTCCTGACTTGTGTGCAGTGGCATGGAAGATGACTGATTCAATTAGGCAACTCATGCCGCGACTGATCCCTCAGTAAAATGCTTACCAATCAGCCAGCTTAGAATTAAGAAAGGAAGCACATACATTTAAGGGTGACTGAAATGTTCCTTTGAGGTTCTTTGCTATCTTCAGGAGGAACGCTCCAGGTGTAATACAATTCTGCACAAAGTTTCAAGACCTTTATACTCAATGGAGAAATTTAAAATGAATCCATTTAGTTAGATGAGAACTCACAAAAAAATGAGTCACTGTGACTTGGAATAACTTTGTTTTAGGTTGGCATGTGTCATAAATTGGGACACATTTTAATGTGGGGGAGGGGCAGGGAGAAATGTGGTGGTATACATTAAAAGCCATAAATATTATTCCTTTATCGGATGATTCAAGATTTGGAAACGTCTCTTAAGCAAATAATCTGAAATATGGAAAAAAGGTAGACAGAACAAAATGGTGTATTCACAGAGCTGTTCAGGATAATCTTATTTAAAATTGTGAAATATCAAAAGCAAAATGGTGACAAATTATAGTGTAACAATGGGGAACCATTAAAAATGACAACCACAGGCCTGTGTGACAACATGGATAACTGGGCTAGAGGAGAACATGCAGGAGACCTGAGTGTTTGAATAAGGCTCCAACCACACCACAGGAATAGGAGAAACACTGGAAGGAAACAGTTTTCGAATGGTTGAGTTAGAGTGATGGGTTTGTTTTTCCCCTAGAATTCCTCTAGTGTGGTTATATTACTTATATAGTAAAAACATTTTATTTTTATTTATTTATTTTGAGGAAGATTAGCCCTGAGCTAACTGCTGCCAATCCTCCTCTTTTTGCTGAGGAAGACTGGCTCTGAGCTAACATCTGTGCCCATCCTCTACTTTATATGTGGGACGCCTGCCACAGCATGGCCTGCAAGGTGCCAAGTCCGCACCTGGGATCCAAACCAGTGAACCCTGGGCCTCCGAAGCGGAATGTGCGCACCCAACTGCTGCACCACCGGGCCAGCTCCGTAGAAACATTTTAAAAAGAGATCGCATTAATAGGATAAAGCCCATTTTGGTGCCTAGTTGATTATAGGCCCGGGTGTAGGACAATTACTAGGACAAGTTAAAAAAAAACCTTTTCCTCTTTGAGTCCCTTATTTCATTTTGCCAAGATAGTCAAGGGTCTTTTGTCTCAGAGATATATAATTGTAGTAAGAAGAAGGAATAAGCAAGCCTAGAGTGTTTGAGATACAGCGGCCATCCAGTTTTTAAAATGACTATAAAATTAGTGAAGAGCAGGCCCATGTGATTGCAACAGCGTCTCAAGCACAATATCGTGGAAAAAATGTTGAAGTGTGAGATGCTTGGGTTTGCATTCTGCGTTTGCATTGCCTTGGGCTGGGTTCTCTGGAGGCTGAGCTTGAGACGGGGATCTGTGCCAAAGGGATTTCTTAGGAAGGTTTCCAGGGAACACTGTTCTGGTGTAGGGAAGATGGGCAGGGAAGGGGAGGAGGCCAAGCAGGTGTGCAGCATCAGGGGAAGTCTGCTGAGAGTCACGTTGGCTTACTCACCCGGGGAAAGATCTGGAGGCAGTGGGGGTCACACGTGAGAGCTGTCTGCATTGCGGGCCAGCGAGCTGTAGCCCTTATACCTGTACACCTGTCAATCATTAGTGAAGGGCTGTTCCCCCCCTGCAGTGGTGGGGAGGAGAGGAAGCTTAAACTCCAGGCCCTTTTGGCTCTCTGTGCCACTGGTAAAGTGATCACTGGCATCCTGGGGAAGCCCTCGGACAAAGTCACAGGTGCTGGCTGCTGGAAGTGAAGCGCACTTTGGATTAGCGTGCACGAAAATGGCCGATGGATCCGGGCGGTACCTTATCTGCTACATACCTCTTACTAGCTGTGTGGTCTTTGGTACCCAGTTTTGTGCTTTTGAACTTCTGTTTCCTCCTCTGTAAACTGGAAATGATAATACACACACACACACACACACACACACACACACTCCTATAGATGGGATTAGTGGAGGAGAGAAAGAGAGAGGGAGAAGTAGAGTGAGTGGGAGTTGGGGGGGTGATTTTGTGTATTGGGGTGATACGGGGAAAAGTTGAGGAGTGAAGTTAGGGAGAACAAAAGGAGAATAAAAAGAAAAAAGGAAAAGACTGACAAAAAAGCGGAGAGAAGGAACATTCACTTATTCATTCAACAACTACTGATTGAGGACCCGGTATGTGCCATGTACGGTCCAGAAACAATGGGAGAAGAAAATTAAAGACCGTGCAATTGTTATGCTGTCAAGGGATGGGATCAAAGTTCCTAGTTTTCCTTGATCTTGGACCCACATTCACTGGGGTTCCTTCTTCCTCATCCCAGTTTGTGCATTGTCCTTCTCAGCCTACCCTTTGAACTTGGTAAAAGATGCAAAGGTAACTATGATTTTCTATCCTCAGGCCTTTCCTCCTGGCTCCTCTAGTCTTTCTTACCCACCTAGAGGGTTAACTACTGATTTGGCATCTGCTGTGTGCAGGACACACACCTGGAGTGCTTCACTGTCCAACAGGAGAGATGTGGCCATACATAACCATAGGCATGGGACGAGGTAAAGAGGGTACCTCCAGGAGGATTCCCAAAGAGCCGTGGAGCCCATGAGTGGGCACAGCTCCTATGTGGGGGGCTAGGGAAAGCTTGACAAAGGAGGGACCTTGTTAGGAATTTAAAAGTAGCTTGCTAGAGGGAAAATAAGGTCTTCCAGGCTAATTGGTTAAGCAGCTACTACACACAAAGCTGGCAGTCATTAAAACTTGTTGAATTGGATAATTTTCAATTGGAATTTTCAAAACTAGGTACAATGGAGGATGGATCAGGGAAGGCAAGAGGGATCTGTTTTATGTGGAGGTCTTCATTTTATGCTTCAAATGATGGGTCCAATGTGATGGGTGACCCCTTCTGGGACTTATTAAATAGTTCAATTAAAGTTCTAAAATTGAATACTGTTGGCATCACCTTGGGATTTGGGCTCCTTTTGATTTGATGTTAGATTATGGAAACGGACAAACATTGACAGTGGACTATGAGACTAAGAGAAATAACATCTTCATGCTCAGAGCTTTACATACCTTTTATATTTTATTCTTACAACTCTAATAACTTACATCTTGTAAACGAGGAACGATGTGTCCAAAGTCACTGAGCTACTAAGTAGCAGAGATGAGACTAAACCCAGATCAGATCCATCTGTCACCTGAAGCCATGCTCCCAACCTCTGTCATTATCAGTGCTATAGCCACAGTTACTAGTAGCCTGTAAAGATTCCCAGCATATAAAACATGTCCATTCAATCGGCAAGTAAATATTTGACATCTATTATGTGCACAAGGTTCTGCTTGATACAGAACTTGGCAACTGATTGGGTACAAGAGATGCAGATCAGATAAGATAAAATCGAGGTACCATGGACAGGGATAGGGACGTTTGAAAAGGGTGATGAAGCCATAGGGTAAGTTTGACTTCAGGTTTGAGTTGAGGGCAGTGAGAGGACAGTGCAGGTGGAAAGTCATTGGCATTTGGAAATATAGAACTAGACCTTGGTTAGGTTTGAAGAAGGAGACTGGAGAAACACAACAGAGTGATGGTTAATGGAGCAACGGAAGAGGTCTTTCAAGTATATAGTCGTGTGTCGCTTAACGACAGGGATACTTTCTGAGAAACGCTACTACACACCTAGGCTATATGGTACTCATCTTGTGGGACCACCATCGTATATGTGGCCCATCATTGACCGAAACATCCTTATGTGGCATGGGACTGTGTAGTAAGGAATTGATATAATCCTCAGTGAGCCTATAATCCAGTTACTCCATCAGATTTTTTTTTTTTGTATAAGCATGTATCCTCATTCCTCATTCAGTTTAAGCTTTACCTTAGCCTTCTACAGAGAAGCATAAAAAGATGTTGTTAACCCAGGTGATTCTGTAAAAGTTTGAATGGTGGTTTCATTAGGCATTCTAGATGGGGTGCTCTGGTTGGGGGAAATTCTCATGGAATGAAAGTCTCCCCAAATATCTTGCAAGCTGTTTGAAGGCAGGGACTAGGTCTCTTTTGTGACCATGTAACCCCTTCTCAATCTCTGAGCATATTAGACCCAATACAATGTCACTGAGTGAATGGACCAAGTCAGTGAAATGTCCTCCCCCTTTTGTGGTCATTGGCTGGGCACAATGGAATTGTCCCAATCTGCCCACTTGCTTAGGTACTTATCTCTGCTGGTTCTTTTTGCTGGGGTCACCTGTAAAGAAAGGGCAGAGTGACATGGCTGAGTTGCGGAGGCCCCAAACACATCATTGTGATGACTTGGTTTTAAGGGTGCTCCTACTTACCCAAGATGTGGCACAAACGGACATCCTCTGGCTCCCACCAC